CCCCAAAACCCCAAAACCCCAAAACCCCTATTTTTGGCATTTTAGTTGAAAATTACGCCTGCCCATTGTTGTCAGGGTGGTCATGGTTGTGGTGACCATGCTCATCCAAACATTCTTTATGAGGCTTCTCTCCATCCATTATTCTGTCAATATGCTTGTAGTTTTGCCATTCTTGCTTCTTGGTCCACCTATGTAGTGGGACTATACCTTCAAGAGATTTGACTTGTTCAAGATTCATCACTGAAAAGATATGACTTCAGTACATATTGTTACTGCAGTTAAATCTTCAATTTCAAAGAAACTTTGTTTTGTTCATTGGAGCTTTTAGGACTGTTACTATATTGTTTTGTCTTAAGCTCTTATCCTTAACAACATATTTAGTCACTTGTTTATCTCCCTTCTCTTCAGATAACTTCTTTACAAAGTATTCATGGCATAAACTATACTCAAAGAGCATCTTTTCAAAGGCAAAATTAGAATATTGGTCATAGATGTGCTTTATTAGAGGGTGATGGATAACATGCTCTCGCTCATTAAGCTTCTTTTCCTTTCAGAGAATATTATCTTTTACTTGTTGTTCAATTTCAAGCATTCTATCTAAGCAATCACTGAGAGTCGATTTACTCCATAATTTATCCTTAATCCTAGCGTTTACTGATTCTATCCGGGAAGTTGTGTGAGTGCCTCCATTGAACACCCAAGCTCAAGCATGTGCTGCCCATTTTTGTTTTATCTGAACTAGTTTTCTCAGATATTGCTTCTTGGTTTCATCTATCAGACTTGAACTGAAGATATAATGTAGAAACTGCTCAAATTCTTCAAAACTCTCAGTGAAAATAAGACCAATAACCATTTTATGAAGCTGATTTGCTTCAGCACTTCTCTTTGATTTGAGGAACTTGAAGTGTCTCTTAAAGTTCTGCATCATGTGCCATTGGCATAAGAGATGCTCACTTTTCTCGAATACTTTCTCAATCCCATGGCACATGGCTGCATCGAAATCGGTAAGTATGACTCCAGGTTCTTTGCCTTCATTCATAACCTTCATACTTTGGAGCAGCCATTGGTATGTTTCCTTAGTTTCTCTTTCAACAATTGCGAAGCCGACGATGACATTCTTGCCTTCATTATTAATGGATGAAAATATCACAAGTGGCATTTTGTATTTATTGGTCATATATGTGCCATCCATGAAGATCACATCACTGTATCTTTCGTAAAGCCGATGCATCTGGGGTGTCTGGATTAAGATATTTTTGATTTTCTTCCCATCTGAGGTCATTTCATGAACGAATCTAGCCTCTGGGCTTTCCTCTCACATCTTCTTCAACCTTGCAAGTAATTCAAGGGATTCAGACTTGTTTTCAGGGAGTAGCTTCTGCTGATTTCTGATCTTCTGGATCATATAATAAATTTCACTATATTTAAAATCTGTGTTAAATTTCTTGTTTATAACGTTCTGGATAAGGACCCATTCCATATCTGCTTGAAGGTATATCTCGATCCAAGACATGATCTCTTCTCTGCCATTTCTACCATATTTGATTTTATCCTCTTCCAGAGGGTGACAATGATGCATGTACATTTTAGAGGCCCTTTCGTAATAATTTCAGCTACTTTTCCACTTGAAAACAGCTCGTACTTTACAGTTTGGATTAGAATTCTCCTTCTCTTCAGATCATTTTTCAATATTTTGAATAAATTTTGGCTTATTCTGATCAGTCGTGCCATCATTTGCATGGACACATCCAAGAGTAAAGGAGAGGATCTCTCCTTTATCACTCTGGCGCCTAGAAAGTATCTTAAACTGCACGTTATAGAACAAGCCTTTGTTGTTGTACAACTTGAGAGCTTCCTCCTCTGAATAAACAATATTTGGAAATTCAGTTAAGTCTCAAAAATAGATATCTGAGTCATCAATTGGGATTTTTATGGATTTAAACACATCTGGAATATTCTTAGATTTCTTTATTGCCTTTTTGATCGGCTTAGGCCTATAGTTAAAATGGTCTAGCTCGTCAAAGTCAATAAATCTTGGATCTGGAACAAATTTTGGTGTTCCTTTCTCTTCCTCCTCATCAGAGTTACCATCTTTTTCTTTCAGAACTGCTTGATCAATTTCGTCAGTAGGGAATTTAAAATCTAAGGTTCATTTAAAGAAATTTTCCATGTCATCAGGATTCCCATGAAATTCCATCATATTCTTGAAGCTATCCTCTTCTTGTCCGATTTCATCAATAAGTTCGATATTAGTATCCTTGGTAACTGAAGTAAGCTCAGAGTCTGCTCTAGTATCTTCTGAATACTTTGAATCATCCATAGTTCCTGTCTGGAAATCATTTTGGCTGATTTCTTTGCTAAAATCAATATCAGTTCCTTCACTCATACGCAAATCTTTTTTTGGAATCGTTAAAATACAGAGTTGTTTTAAAACAAAGCAGTGATTCCACGCTTAAGTATAAATTTTTCAATATTTTGGGGTTATGGGGTTTTGGGGTTTTGGGGTTTTGGGG